CCATGGAGCTGGGACCCACACGTTCCCCACAGGGCGCGCTCAGACTCAGCCCCACTAGAAAGAGAGACCCCAGCTGCCAAATTCAGCTCTGGATCCAAATCCTCGTGCAGATGCTCCTGGAGCTCAGGGGTCCAGCCCACAGTTCTGATCCAGCCTCTCTCGGCCGGGAATCCTGACCAGGGCGAGTTTTCGGGGCATCCAGCTGAGAGTAGCTGGGCGTGCGACCCCCGGAAACCAGCATCTGCGCTGGACCAGTCTCATTCTTCAGCAGCTTCTCCACCAGCAGCTCCTGTGACAATGCCAGGGTGACACCCCGTGGCCACTAAGGAAACTAACCCCAGCTCCAGCGGCACACCAGCACTCTCAGTGGGCTCTGCAATACCAGCCAGCCCCGAGACACTACGGCACAGCGTCCAAGCGAGTTGTGAAAGCCTCACTGCATCCGGGGCCCTGGTAGAGCGAAGCCAAGGCAGGTGTGTTGCTAATGAACATGGGGGACTTGCCCTGTGCTTTGCCCCACACTAACAATAATATAATAACAAGCTATACTCCGAATCTCTAGCACCTCTCACCAGTGGGTCCCAGCACTGTGCAAATGCATGCTGTGTGCGTCGTTTGTCACCAAAGCCTCTCTGCACAGTACAGGTGGTCAGGGAGCTTACAGATGGTTCCTTAAGGCACAAGGGAATCTCTGGCTGTCTCACAAGTATGCAGAGCTAAAGACCCGAGGTGGTCTAGGAGGGGACGCACTGAGAGCTGGCGGGAAGTTTTGGAAGAAGGGTTCGGCCGAACCAAAGCTGTTTGTGGGAAAAGGCTGGGTTCCACAAATTGCTTGTCACTAAAATAGTTTGGGGGGTAAGTTTGGAGATTGTCAGAATGTCGCATGTGGGAACTGTCAGAATAACACAATCTGTGCATTTGCCTCACAACAACTTTTCCTTTAGAAATGTAAATTAATTATAGTACCAAGAATTAAAAATCAAAAAGGTCAATATTGAAATGAAACGTTTCCATTGACCCCGCGCTCTTTGTTCCCAGACAGTCACTTTACACAACTTTCAAGATTTTGACTTTTCATCCCAATTCGGGAGGGGGAAATCTTTCAAATTCTCAAAAGTTTTCCCAGCGCTTCCTGGCCAGCCCTCGCTGCTGTCTGGGGTCGTGAATCAGCCCCCCTGTCCCCAGCTCTGGCCCTAACTCTCTGCATTCCCTCTGTGCCCTGATGGAGGCACCTTCCCAGGAGCTGTGGGTAAATGAATGCTTGCAGAGTCCCCTGCGGATGACAGCCTGTGCCATGGTGCTGGATGACCCCTCTCCAGCATAGACCTGCTGGTAGGTTAGGGAGCGGGGCCTCCCCTCCTTAGGACACGAAGGAGCATGGGTGGCCAGTGAACCAGCTGTTGGGGGACGCTAGCCCCTGGCCCCTCCTCTTCTGCCTGAGGCT